TTGGATTAATCTTAGACTTCAGAATGAAATATTTTGAAGCAAGTACATACAAATTAAAGCCAAGTGCAAGACTTTTAAGAAAGAAAATTTGGCATCGAAATTTCTTATGTACAAACTAACAAAAGAAATAATCGCTCGTCAATATAAACTCAAGAACATTGGTCAAAAATACGATTTGTAGAGTCCGATTACCCTATACGAACATGAAACTGTTTTCACTTCAAAGAAACTTCTATTTTGTTCATAGAATAGTATGTTTCTATTGTGAGGCCGGCGATTCAAGGTGGCAACTTACGTGCCATTGACAGTATATATCCTGCATCGTGTTAAATTCCAGGAACTTTGATTCCAAAGAATATCAGCCGCTGTTAATTGATATCTATAAAGCACCATATTTAAAACACTGATTTATACCTAATAATTATTCATATTATTCGCTTACCTGACTGATGTAGGAAGAAAATTGAAGCTGGAAGACGCTCAACTTTTTTTGAAAGTATAGGCGAAGCTGGTCATTTGTTCTAAACAGCTTGATATGTCTCTAAATGAAATTAATTTCTGAAACCTGAGCCAGATTCTGGACTTATTTATATATAAGATAATGAAAATAAGATTATATAAGATTATGAAATATAAGATTATGAAAAAACTATTTGATCGTAGAATGAAGTATTTTTAAGCTAGTTGATGAGTCTGGCTAACGACTTATCATGGAGCCATTTCTTGCGTTCTTCGGCTACCAAATTAAAGTAATGGAGACAATGTAGTAACTTTACAGTATATATGATCTTTGAAAGTAACCTCAGCGTTGGCAATGATAATGGCCTCAAAACATATCGTTAAGTCAAGCTTAGTTATTTCATCCAATCACTGATCAAGTCGTAAATCAGATCAGCCAATCATAGACGAGGAGACATAATTTGACGACACTTCCAGCACCTGCGGTCGGGGTTCCCGGCCTGGCCATACTTTCAAAACTGGCTAAGTGAACGTAAGTACTTACGCTCTATTTTCTTGCCTATGATTGGTGGATTTTGCTTGAAAGGCCGTCCATGATTGGCTGATGAACTTACGATCTCTTAACTTTTTTTGAAAGTATAGGCGCATCATGTTACGCAGGTAATACGTAAGTTTCAGCACCACTATGAATTAGGACACCACTGGAAAGCTAAGATTTTCCCTAGTACGCTTGGATTATCACAAGTAATTTAGGATCATCACTAATACGCCAGGACTATCATCTAAAAGTCAGAATTATCATCTATAAGTCAGGATAATCACTATTACGTCAGGATTATTACAAATTCAACAGGATTATCACTTAACACATTAGGACTCTTACTGCAAACTTCGAGTTCCTCTTAACAGCACCAGACTTGAGTCTCACTTGACTACCTCTATAATCCGCCTTAGCGGATTTCATCTGCTTTAAATCATAGCGATATTTCAAAAAGGATAAAAAAGAAATTAACAAATGTAGTTCAATAAATTTATTCATTTTCTAATAACACATTTACGTATTTTTGCCACGTTTGTAGCATTGGGAGCATTGCTTGGGTTACATAGTGATTGAAATTGAGAAATGCCCTGGTTATAGTCTTGGCCGACGTATCGGTGGCCACTGGGTTGTGGGTGATGCCCTGGTTATAGTCTTGGCCGACGTATCGGTGGCCACTGGGTTTGTGGGTGATGCCCTGGTTATAGTCTTGGCCGACGTATCGGTGGCCACTGGGTTTGTGGGTGATGTCCTGGTTATAGTCTTGGCCGACGTATCGGTGGCCACTGGGTTGTGGGTGATGCCCTGGTAATAGTCTTGGCAGGCATATCGGTGGCCACTGGGTTGTGAGTGGTGCCCTGGTTCATCACTGTTCGATCAGGTAGCTAGTAAAATACATTTTTAACATCGAAGTAAAGTTCCTCACGACTGCGCTGCCATATTCGCCCATCCATTCGATGAGATGCGACGAATCAAAATTTCGTAGGAGGAATTTTCATCAGAAAATTGAACAAAACGAGTCAACTTGAACATTGTTTGAATTCATGGGATAAAATGGTAGTAAATCAATTATTCTGCCAATATCAAATATTAGGCAAGTTTGAAACTTTTAAACAATATTCACCATCAGACTCATAGCCACCATTAGACAAATATAGAATTTCATACTTAAATAGACGTGGCTTTCTTATATCTGAGTTAGAGGGGATAATGAAACGTCATCTCAGACGAAAACTTGAATCTCGAAGGCAGATTAGAAAAAACGGAGTTCAAAGACCATTTGCATTTTAGGTTGGTAAGAGTTAATTAAAAAATTATTTCAGACAAAAATATGTCGTACCGGCAAGCATAACAAAAAAATAAAGGTTTGACATACATTACAGGTAGATTCAAGCCGCAACTTTACACTTTATTCAAAAATGTTAGCTTGCAATTTGAAATTTCCTGCTACAGCCCAACTTTAGGCTGCATTATCTCATCGTGTGAACAGTAAATAGTACACACAGAGAACATGAATGTGTGTCTTGTAAACTCTCCCCGTTTGAATATTCTGTACATAGAACATGAAACTGTGTACATGTGAACTCTGTACATGAGAAGTTGGGCCGCGTTGAGCTTATGAGTGCATGCGTGCAGCACACGAGTATGTGTACAGTAACAGGAGTAGGTGAGTACTTAATGTGCATTTAACATAATAATATGTACTGTAAGAACGACCTGAGTACGTACATTGAATGCAATAGTCAGATATGAATTAGATTCTGTGAAGTTTTGTGAGTAATCCAAATCCAGTTTGGCCGGAAAAATGAAGTAACACGCTGAAAATGTGTCACTATTTGGAGCATATGAACCACCCATTTTCATGAGCGCAATTTCATGTGTACTGTATTCAAATTCTTGTGTATTGTGCAGCAAACACATCTCCTGCACCGAGTTTGCAAAGAATCTTTACTTCAAAATAAATTATTTCACATAGCACCAAAGTCAACGTCTGCACATGCGGGAAGAAACTCAAGGCAACAAAATAATATCACTGAATACAACACAAACTCTTTAGCTTTTCCACTGTTTAAATAAATAAGTGTTGCAAATATCACCCTGAAGAATGAATTTGGTATTGTCCAAACCGTGACACACTTTCCTATCCAAAGAATAAATAATTCCTATCCGTATTACACGTATTTCTATCAAAGAATTCCTATCTGTATTACACGTAACACTAATACGTCCCTTAATTAAGCAGGACAAATCTGGGTCGGGATGACCCACATAAGGGCAAAAAGTGCATCGCTATTAGGACAAAATCCCACTTCTTTCTCTGAGTGATAAATAAACCCATAGATATATAATCTTAATGGAGATAATTGAGGTAATTACTAACGAGAATGACTACATGGTATCTATTTGTTAATGTTATTAGGTACGCGCGTAGCGTTTGATTATACCCACATTAGTAATAAATATATTATTTATAATAAAGTTTTGAAAGCCATAAGCTTACACACAATCAGCATTCAGCAACAATATGAAACAAAATAAAAATAAAAGTTAAACTGCATTTGAACAAATGATTTACAAGGTATTATTCGTTACATCAAAGGAAAATTGTTAAAGAGGCGACGCTATTAATATAAACTGAAATATTTAGTATATTTTCATACAAGTATCTAATCAATCAAAGTTTTAACAAAATTATTTTATATAAACACACAATTTGGGCGAAAAATCCGTTCAATCAGAGAAATCCTTGCAAGGTAATCCAACAATACCGTACCCTGCAATGCGAACTTTGAGTAAGAATCTTAATTCAATGATGAACGTATGTAAGTTACTCTCATACATTCAATAGTAATTTGACGACGGTATTGCTCACGATTAAAATACGTTTGGTGAGAACTACATTATAGATAAATGAGCAACAACAGACAAAGGCAGGCAAAACCTGTCTGGGACGTTTTAAAAACCAAATGGGATGTTTTAAAAACACAATGAGATGCTTGAAAAACCCAATGGGACGTTTTAAAAACCCAATGAGACGCCTGAAAAAACCCAATGGCACGTTTAAAAAACCCAATGGGATGTTTTAAAAACTCAATGAGATGCCTGAAAAACCCAATGGGACGCTTGAAAAGCCAAATGGGATATTTGAAAAACCCAGTGGGATGTTTGAAAAACCTATTAAGACAGTTAATTACCAAGCCTTGAGGGCTGTATGATGAAAATTGTTATCAAATTCAATAGGTTAACTGAAATTACATAAGAATAAAATAATTACAAATTAATCATCATCTGACTGCCTGAACATGTTGCCAGATCTCATTGAGAATATCAGAGTAGCTAGAATTTCTCGCATCTAAATGTGCAACTGTGCATGGAACTGATGAAGAAGCGTTCGTAGCTGCAAGCCAAGACTGTAAAGGCTCGAGGTCATAACAGTAACGAGCATTTAATAAGATGTAGCGTATTTCCATATCTTCAACTAGTAAACCTGTTACCCAAACATCGTCCACCCACAACCAAGGCCTTGCAGCCGCCTTCTGGATGATTGCCTTGGCCACATCCATGGACATGACGTACGCAAGCCCACTGCAGTACTGAGGATATTGGGCTTTTGGATACTCGAGAACACTAACAGCCCATTTCCCGGCGCGTTTAGGTTCAGTTCCGGCCGGTATCACATCACAGGCTATCATCGAGGTTGGATGAGGAGTCTCCAAAGTCCGGTCAAGGAAGCTGAATAGACCGTAAACGTCAACAAACGCATCGTCATCAGCTTTGAAAATCAACGAAGTTCTTGGGCAATGTTGAGTCAGCCACCGCAAGCCGAGCTCGTGCTTGATGCTCAAGTGATGATAAATGTCATGAAAGTCACCCAGGAGCACGTCTTGGTATTGCACTGCTTCGTGGCGCGTCATTTCATCTATTATTCTACTGTTTTTCATCGCGTAATCATAACTTTCATAAGGAAATGAAAGGCCCATCACAAATATTAGAGACAAAGATCTTCCGTCGGGTAATTTTCGTATTCCTCCCCATGTTTTCCGGATGGATTTTCGAGATCCAATATTACTTGGTCTTGAATGAACTAAAATAACGATGTCTACCTGATCCCCCGCACAAAACTGTTTGGGGGCCATTAAAACTTTTGATCTTAGTGATTTAAATGACGGCAAAGTCGCGTTGTCGACAACATTAACATTTACATTAACACTAAAAGCTTTCGTATCGTAATCTAGATTTCCCCCTAGAGGCTTTCTGGCGTTCCACAGCATCCTGGGACTGTCACTCGAGTCAGGGGCTCGGCGCGTCTCTTCAGCCCGCAAAGTGGAGTACAAACAATAAACTAAAAGCAGGACGAGGCAAATTTGTAGCGTCCGAACAAAGCAACACCATCTATTATTCTTACACCAAGGATTGTTTCCTTCAGTACAACACGAAAACATGGGAAAAGGACGTGGAGCTTCAACCAGAGGTTCGTTGGAGGACATGTTCAGGTACACGAGTCGGGCCCCAAACATGGGCTGGGGATGTGTGGGGGAGCTCATCTTGGGGTTCACGAAACTTGCACTCTTGGGGAAACCATGCACGTTCCCCATCTGAAAATGAAAGCAAAAAAAGTCTTCAGTGAGACAAGAAGTGTTTAATATTTGCATACACTTTATCTGACACAGGCAAAGGGAAAAAATATATTTTTTGAAATCACATGCAGCAGGTTAAATAATAATTTAATAATAAATGATAGAGGTAATTAACTAATTAATAATAATAAAGCACTCAGTGCACCAAGAGCAACCTAACTCGCAAAAGTGTCAAGTTTAGAATCACAGCCGAACAAGGACGTTCCATCACGGCCCTTATGAAGCGCCCCCGAAAATTCAGATGTCAAGTTTAGAATCACAGCCGAACAAGGACGTTCCATCATAGCCCTTATGAAGCGCCCCCGAAAATTCAGTAATAATAAAAATTATTATTATTAGTATCAAGATAAATGAAGATTTCAACAGTATTTATTTTAGAATATTCGTTTTCATAATTTTTTCTCATGCTTCTGGCAAGACGTTGCCACAGAGAACTAATCTCAAAACTCTTACGTCTATCCGGACATCGCTTGGCTTATTGAATGTCTGAGCTGTGCTCAGTCAGTCAAACAAGCCACGGAGCCAGACTATACAGAAACGAATGAAGCCATTTAGCCATTTGAAAAGCTGTATAGTATCAATCTAAGGAATTTACATAGCCTTTCCACGTTAAAAATACTAAGATGAATATGAATAAAAAGTGTACCCGCGAAACTTATCAGTCCCACCAAATAACAAAGATTCTAAAAAATCTAAAACTGGTGGTCCGATCATCGTATCGTTTAAAATCGTCGGGAGAAACTTTCCGATCTATACTTGCCAAGTACTACTAAATAGCATTATGAATTTCAAGCGTGTAGAATCGTCGAGAGTTCCGACCATCATAGCGTTTAGGATCGTCGAGAGTTCCAACTACCGTAATGTTTAGGATCATCGTATGTTCCGGCCATTGTATCCTTTGAAATCGTTGAGAGTCGTAACGCTTGAGGTCATCGTAAGAGTTTATAAGCATTCGGTCCCGCGGCCGGGGCTTTGACTTGCTCAGGTTTTCCCACGCTCGATTCTCACGCTCTTCCCGCGACGGGAGTCTCTGAGAGAGCGAAGACTGCGTGACATCTTCGAGCGCAAGGCTTCCTCGCACGCAATGATAGAAACGAAGTGAAATAATAGAAAAATTAACAGCAAGGAATTGTTAAAACAGCATATTCTAAAAAATCGTTAATTTATGATTAAGGAATTAGCGTAAAATTTTCATTCAATGAATAAAAGTTCATTTTTTAATTAATGATTTATTATTTATTTTCACTTAATTAATCGTACAGGAAAGTACGATTCAAGTAAGAAAAGAGGAAGTTGCAAAATTCAGTTTCTGCAATTGAATATATCAAATCAAATTAAATGCATCGAGATTACTGAGTTAGATAAATGAGCAACATGAGCATGTATTAAATGTTTATGTATTAAATGAGCATATATTAAATGTGAGCATAAATTAAATGTTTGGGAACTAATTTCCTTCCAGGTCCGGAAGCACGAAGCAATCATTAAAAAATTGCATGACTGGACAATGAGTTCTAATTCATGAAGATGGTCACGGATTTCGTGACATCGATAGTGTCATTTATTCATGAAAAAATCAGGATTAGAGAAGATAATATTGTTGAAAGAAGATAATATCTGTACCATAAAAAAAAACATTTCAAAGTTCTTGATTATGCTATGAGTCATAGGTAAAGGATATCTATTGAAATAATTTTTAAACCTCTAAAAAACAGTATTTCAAGGTTTTAGTTCAGAAGTAGTTTCTGAAAGACCAAGTTTTCAGTGCAAACGGATTTTTCACTCATTTTTGAAGTTCGCGCATTTTGAGGCATGTAAAGTTCATGCAATTTGGAAAAATAACCACTATTTTATGGTATACCAATTAATTATTATGTTTATCATACATTATTATATTTATCACATGATTATAACTATTTTAACTATTAATATTTATTCTACTTTGTATATACTTATTTATTATACCACGTAAATATACTTATGTACTAGTAATTAATAATTACAAATTGATAACAACTATTTTAACTATTAATATTTATTTTACGTGGCATATACTTATGTATTATATACTAATTATTAAATTTGGCATAGGACGACAGACGTAGCGGGTGTCGTGGGAAGCAGCGCTTCGTCGCCCGTGAACAGCTCGCGGCGGTCACGTTTGACGTCACGTCACGCGCGTCGCATACTTAATAACTTTATACATCGTCGTCGAGATAATTCATTATCATTATAATTCAAATAATCATCGTATTGAAAATTCGTTTAGTCACCGTATTAAAAATTCAGCTATTCGTCGTTACAATAACGCCACAAAACTTCATTCCCTATCTATATCATCTTCACAAGAAATAAAATAATCACTCAATCCAAAATTCAACATATCATCGCTCCAAAAATTCAATTAATCAAAATGAATACAACAATTCGATTTAATCATCATCAGTGCTACAATTCCACCAACCATCGAAAGAAAATTTCCACTTATCATCGAAACAATTACTCAGCACCTCGTAGCAGCAAAAATTTGAATAATCATCGTTGCAAAATTCAACTAATCATCGCAACGATAATTCAACTAACTGTTGAAACAAAAATTCAACCAATGATCATTACAAGACTTTGCTCCGTCGATACCCTAGGTCCTAGGCCATATCACAAAATCTTTATTAATAACAATGCAAGCACTAATAAAGGATTTAATCTGCAAATTTTTTAACCTGCTGGTAATTGTACGGTGCACGAAACTAACTAATTTTTTGGTAAATAATATTCGATTAACTACGAGTATATTTATAATGACTGCAAACGCCAGTATTTCAATACATAGTACTACTGCAGAGTGAATTAGTAATAGTTCTAATTCATAGCATTACTACATTGCATTATGAATGTAAAAAATTCGTTATTTGCAGAAATTTCAAGCCCTAAAATCGATGATAAACATTTTGAATCGATGAAAGTTTTAACGAACAGCTTGCATGTTTACAGTAGATATACGTAATTGATTTGAAGTTTGAAATAGTTTTCAGTCATTTTCCGTTTAAAAATGTTCGTGTTGTTTCATATTTACGTGTATTATGTACTCATGTCCACCAAAATTTTTTTGTTCAATGCTTCTTGTTACTTGAAAATGAAAATATATTATAGGTACTTGCTGAGACCTGCCTTTTGATCTATTAACGTCATCTAAAGAATTTTTCGGCTTCATGAAAATTGGAATATAATGCATTCTCTGTTCTTTAATCTTACGTGCTTTAACAAGAAAATTCTGCCACCTAATATCAAATAGACATAACAAGCACAAATTCATAAATGTTTTAAAAATGTTAATCAGAGTCTTAGTGTTGTTCTATATATATTCGAACTCAAATCGCTTTTAAATTAGAAAAAACGTAAAGAACGTATAGCGATCGTTAGCGAAGATGACATGCAGAGCTTCGCGATACCATCTGATCTGAGATTGGGATCTTGATGCGGCATTTGCATGGTCGTTATCCGCATCGTCATACGGATCGTGATTGTTATGCGGATCGAGGGAGTAAAAATGCGATCGGTAATACAAACTGATGGTAGCATTTGCATGGTCGTTATCCGCATCGTCATACGGATCGTGATTGTTATGCGGATCGAGGGAGCAAAAATGCGATCGGTAATACAAACTGATGGTGAAATATAAGCCTTCTGATCATGAAGGAGAGGCATTCAATTCAGAGGCAAACTGCAGGCTTAAAATATGTTTTGTAAACTGATGTTTATATAACAGTTTATAAACGAGGTGATGGTTTTAAATTAGACAGTTGTAAATGAGGAAAATAGTCAGTGATCGAATTAGATTTGGGAATTAAAATATTATTAGTAATTGTAAAAAAATAACAGATTAGTCATCATAACCCTTAAATGCACCGTGTATCAAAAATGATACAAACCGAATTTTCACCTATAAATGCTAAGGTAATCAGGCTACTTGCCTGCGGCACATCTAGTACGATATGTATCTACGTGTATGTATGTATCTGCGTATGTATCTACGATACATACGCAATAGAACGAGAACGAAACGAGATACATCGGTGTTGTGTTGTGCGGTAAACATGAACGCCAGTGAGCGACAAGGCGTGGTCGGTGGAAGTGTGCGGAAGAAATAACACATTTACGTATTTTTGCCACGTTTGTAGCATTGGGAGCATTGCTTGGGTTACATAGTGATTGAAATTGAGAAGTCAAAACCCTAATTATTTGGGAACTTTCAAATAAAAATTATACGTTCGAAATTTCGTCCATGCTTTCAATATTGATATCAACAATATTTGATCACATTCATACTCGGAATTTTAGCCTACGCGCAGTTTGTCAGCCGTCAACTTGCCTGGACGGTTTCATTCCAATTCTCCGGGCTAGTGAAAGAAGCTCTGCAGAAACTTCGCTTCTAAGTAGTCTCTAAATTTTCTATGTATTTTTTTACTCACTCAAAGCTTAAAGTTCGTTGCCACATGAATCTGCAGCGGCTGAAGTTCGATGACAAAAGCACCAATTGACTCGTTAATGATGGGTCGTGACAATCGTGTCACGACCCAAGACGTGATCTCGGCTTGTGCCTCGTGGGTGGTTCTTTGGTTAATAGTCTTGGCCGACGTATCGGTGGCCACTGGGTTGTGGGTGGTGCCCTGGTTATAGTCTTGGCAGGCATATCGGTGGCCACTGGGTTGTGGGTGGAGCCTTGGTTATAGTCTTGGCAGGCTTATCGGAGGCCACTGGGTTGTAAGTGGTGCCCTGGTTATAGTCTTGGCCGACGTATCGGTGGCCACTGGGTTGTGGGTGATGCCCTGGTTATAGTCTTGGCCGACGTATCGGTGGCCACTGGAGTAGGCCTACTAGTAGGGCGGCTAGTAGACCTACTAGTAGGGCGGCTAGTCGACCTGCCAGTAGATCAGCGAGTAGGTCTGGTAGTAG